TATTTGAAATCGGCAATGATTTAGTTGCCAACCTAATATACTAGAATTGTAGGATCAAATATCTTATGTTACTGCGTAAGCGAGGCGACCAAAAAGCACTAGGGAGGCTCCATGACGCCACTCAAGGTTAGCGTTAGAACGGTTAATTTATTACTAGTTAAAGGCGCATTGATTGGGAAGCCAAAAATGTAGAGCACATTAAAACTAATGACAGCAGTTGAACAAAAAGAGGGGAAGAAATAAGAAAGTACTTGTAAATGTATAAAGCACATAAGGTTTCAAGACCTTTCATGAAATAAATTAGGTTATTCGGTTAATTAAATAGATTCTTCAACTCAACTCACATTTCAATAAAGCAACTCTGAAAATTAGAAGAATTGGTTCTACGAACTACTCAATACTATTGAAAATACACCACATTCACAATAAAAATCGTCTATAACTTTACCTGAAATCATCTGACTGATTGATAATGTAGAATGTATGTGGAATGCCTTTCCGCTTCAGATAATTGTGCATATGGGGGAGAAATAAGAGGAGATTGGTGAAACGATCTCGGAAAGGAACAATTACCGCCAGTGTATGATCAACTGTATTCTTTTTCTCCATCTGTGCATCTGGTTGAATTATCTTCCACACCGTAACCACCAGCATCACGGCGGCAACAATGAGCAAACCATATCTCTGAAAATATGGGAAATATTCAAGGGAAATAGCAATATGACAACAAAGAGCCATTACAATTAAGAGAACTCACTTTGCAAAATCGTCTAATCTGCATTGATGAGAAGTACTAGAGTAAAACTGAAAGAGAATCTAGACCAGTAAAGACAAAGTTGTTCGAATCATTCTACTCTTCATAATTAGCTACATGAAGATCAAACCAAAATAAGCAAATCAATGCAAACTTGAATAGTTACGATTTTTAAAACAAAAAGACAAAAATTATCATTTAGAAAATCATTTCGTTTATTTCCCCGAGACAATAATATTGAACAAATACAAGTACAAAATCGGATCTGATAGGGAACTTTTCCTATTTATCGAACGAATTTCATTAGCCACAAGCCATCATTGAGGTAATGCAAAGTTTCCACACCAATATTCTTGTTGACATCAAGCCTAATCAAGATGGAAATAGTCAATCAATAAATTGAAATGGTCGTTATGAAAGAGCGGGGCGGTTTTTGAAGATATTCAAGAGTTTATAGAAGCATTTTTTATTTTTTTTCGAGAGAGACAAGTGATGCCACAGGTAATATTCAATTTGTAAGCATGTATTCCGATACGGACACAAACTTACATTTCATCAGTAGACATGGTTGTGATTCCAACAGCAACGGCATGTTCTTTTCCCTCTGCCATTATTGACACAACTGTATTTGCTGGAACCTTACACAATTTTGCCCCTGGTGACGTCAAACCTGGGCACATAATATTCGATCCATTCAAAACGTGCTTAATAGCACCACGATCAACCTGAAGTTGAGGTAATAGAAATGGATCTAAAGGAGAAAATGAACAAAAGTAAAATACGAAGTTGCTATTTCAACGGTTAAAGAGAACCAATTATTTACATTTGTGCAACAACCTCAGTGTGGGTACAAAAGGACCATCACGTTGACGGAAGAATAATACTTCACCAGAAGGATCAGCAAACAGATCAATGTGATCATGACTAAGGAGAATGTCAACCAAAGCTCCTCTTACCATTTAAGCCACTTAAGGGGCTCCTTCTTTGGTAAAATCTTGTCGAGATATTCCTTCGCACATTCAAAGTTCTCAGTAACTTTGGACTTAATTGACTTTGACACGGAATTCTTGGCAGTATTTACAGAAGAAACTGATTCTTTTTCGTTGAACCTAATAGAATAAATTTGTTTCGTTACGAAGTTACTTTTTGAACATTGTGTATCGAGCAAAGAAGAGAGTATGACAAACAAGGTCAGTAGAATAAGATAGCCTATTTGCTAAACGGTAGATAAGTGAGTTTGACTTTAATTTAATCACTTTATAAAAATTCATTCTTATTTTATGCAGTAGCGACCGACCGTACTAAAGTTAATTATATTAAATTTATAATATTTTAAAAATTACTCAAGACTACCGATACCAACTTGAGGTTAGAGCTAGTTGTTTATCCCATAACCTGAGCGTTTATTCAAGCTATGTCTATTACGACCCCATGTGGGAAACAAAGAACAGATATTGAGGAGATTTTTTGCTGACACATTTAAATTAGCTTTATGTCGTTCGTTAGGCCTACCTTGGTTTATCGAATGCGCGGCCTTACAAACTCATTATCACATTACTAATGATTGCCATACCATTTAATGAAATTAGGCCACCATGTGTAAAAATGGTCGAAAGTAAGTGGCTACACATTGGCACGGAAATATCCCATGACTGCACTCTTAGTGATGCCGTTTGAAACTAAATTCAAAACAAAAAATAATACTCATTTGTAGTAATTTAATAAAATTTGTACAGTAAAATATACTAGGTAAGTACATCAAAACAGCAAATATCATCAAAATCAATCTGTACATTCTTCTTCAAGGAACAAATTGCTACACGGGCCTGGGAGGAGCGATCGTCACGTTCAACGAGTTTTCCAACCTCGCCGGCGTAAGAACCACGAACCACGACGAGTGATTCACCCGGTCGTTTAGGAACTGTAGTTTGAACGTACCTCTCCTTGACATCTACAAAAATAAATATTCCAATTAGATAACCAATGAATCTTACTTTTATAAATAAGTCATTCATTTTCCAATAGAAAAAGATCTGTAACATCAACTTGAGTATTTGAGGCTTTATGCCTTATTAAATGATATAGTTCATTACTATAACTATTTTAGTTACCAGATATAAGGCTAAATACGATTTTCCTAATGGTTGAACGGAAAGGGATTATAACTCGTTATGGGCCAAACACTATGTAACTAGAAAGAACTACACGCTACTCTAAACATTTCCGAGTGATGTCTCAGTTCTAGAGTTTGCAAGACAAGATGGTTTATTTTAAAGATTATCTCATGCCTTTTGAAATAAACCTCTTATTTGTCATTGTAGATCAAATGGGATTGAGAATAAAAGATATCGAGTTTCGATTGCCCATCCCATTTGAGTATAATCACATTTCAGAGGCGAATACAAGTGGCGCTTACCAAAAGAAAAAGACTGGCACTCAAGTGTGAGCAGCGACTGAGGAGTGTAATTGCACTCACTCGACAAACCACAGCCACATGTTCATCATGTTTGGCAAATATAGTCCCGACAATTCTACTTGTTAGATAGCATAGCAGCGCAACACTACTCAGATACAATCTACTCATATGTAAATAATTACAAGAGATTAGTTAGTTGATTTGCTTTAATGCTATATCTAGTTTGGTTAAATTAGAAAACGTCCAGTAAGACCACGACTTTCATGAAATTTTAATGTCTTCAAATAACTTACCGCATAATAATCGACCATCGCTCGTTTCACAGGAGCAGCGAACAGAACTGGAGGATGATATAGAGACGGATACCACTGTCACCTGAGCAAGAGAAATTATATAAGCATTATAAAGCCTAGCTACGTAAGAGCGAAAAAAAGAATAAAAAATTAATCAAATTAGTGGGAGGATAACTAAGAAAGGAGCTTGTGATCTGACTCCAAATATATGAAATTAAAGTGACTTATAAATCCAGCAATACGTTTTGTAAATAGGCAAGTCTCTAAGATCAAAATTATTTGAAATGGTATTTACATATCATTTAATTATCATAACCATGAGCACTAAAAGATGTAACGGAATGGCCCAGGAGATAAAACATTAATGATGAAAATAGCTAAAAAGCAACAAAAGTAAACTAAAACGTTTGGCGAAATTAACGAGACACAAGCTACAGAAAAAATGGCTGTTAAGGGCAAAAGAAAGATTTGATGAAATGCCCACTTGGCCAGAAAGGAGTTACACATAAGGACAATTTTATGAGTTCTAATCATAATAATCGGATAACAATAAAGTATTTATTACTTTAACCAAGTATTACATTTCTTTCTCAACTTCCCTTTGAACAAGCTTCAAATGCCAAAAAATTAAAAAGACTAACGTCAAATAACTTAAAAGCAATTATGAAATAAAGAAAAATACCTTCTGGAGATGGTGTTTACTTTTCTTATCGAGATATCGGACAATAAGTCCCCTTCGGAGCCACGTTAATTTTCTTTCACTGGAAAGAAACAGGCAAATAAACCGAAAGAAAAGACAAAAACTAAAATTTACCACAATAGTAATGAAATATTCATACCCATATGAAGGCTCCTCTTTTCTGCGTTTGGTTAGAAACTCATGCAGTTCTGCGTCGTTGCGATCACCTCGTCTACTCAGTCGTGATTCCTTCGTTTCTGTTAACAAACCCCCATTTTCCTTGAAGCTTTTCGATTCCTCCATATCTGAAAGAAAAGACTTAACGAATAAACACTGGTTCAAAATAATAAATTAGCAAAATGGGTTAGATTAAAGAACTTACTCAAATAATTTCCATACTTCTCAAATTCTGCTTTAGTTACAAGGCGAACAGTAGCCTGCATAACTTTAACGATCTTTTTACTGGCGGTTAGTTTAATAACAACTCGACCAATATCTCCATCCAATCCTTCAACCGATCCATATTGGCCATTATGTCGGCCGAAGATGATCTGACACTTTGATCCAACTTTCCATGACAATTTCTCATCATCCTTGCCTACGGGTCGTCGAGCCTCCTCACGAGATCTTTTGAGAACCTCAGGATCAGCGCCTAGTCCGAGACCCTTCAATCTAACCTTTGCTGCATAATCACTAAAGGAAGAAATAATATGAAACAAAGAGTTCTTACTCTGATGTGGATTTATTTTTAAGATCTTCCTCTTTCAAACCCATTCCCTTTAGCAATGCTAAACCGAACTTTTCAATGGGAATCTGTTCATAATCCGCATCATCAATATTATCCTCCTCTTCTTTACGTGATACAACAATTGCTTCTGTGTTACCCAAGTTAGGCTTCATGTCAACGTCTCCCACATTCTCTAAAAGAAAAATTTATTAAGAAAAATCAAAACCGTACCTGAAGTGAGAGCCTTTAAAGCCTCTGCAGTTAAATCATCTGTGGGTTCAGTTTTAATGTACTTCTTTTTTAATTTTTCTCGAATGTTGGACTCGGAAATGCGTAGAGGAATCACTGGTCCATCATTTGAGATGACCACTTTACTGGCGAAAAAAGGAACAAATAGTCAAAAGTTAGCAAGTGTGTAAAAACAAACTATCATGATAGTAAATCCATTGAAAGCTATCAATAAACTAATTATAAATCACCTTTTAGCAACACTGTTTTCAAAAGAAGTTAGATAATCAATGGCCGTTCCGTTAGCCTCGAATTCATCTGTCACTTGAACCGACTTTATTAATTTAGGCTTGGCAGCAGTTTTACTAAATCCGAACGAAAGCTTCCCAGTACCACTCATGAAATATAGAGACTAATTTGACAAGGAGGAGTGATCAAAACTAGCCGCCATCAAAGTAGATGCTTAAAACTATGATCCATTCCAATAAATATCTCTATTTTAAAATAATATATTTAAAATATTTTAAAGCACAACTACTTCAAATGATGTTGTATTTGCATTATTAGTTGCATAACTAGAAAATTTTGCTTTGCTGCGTTCTCATTCAGAGCATATTATGAAATAAATAACTTGAGTTATCAATACCTCATTGCTTTAAATAAATGAATATGCTTCCACTCTATAATATTCCAGTTAACTGAAAACACTTAAGAGTGTTTAATGTTCTATTTTACGTATGCAAAGTGATTCTATTTGGTTGCGAAATTTGCTGCTTAAATTAAGTTGGTTTCACAAGAAGGAGCTATAAGGACTAATACTAATACTTTGCTAATTCGAATAAACCTCGATTTGGCTACTGTAATTATCCATGGTTTTATGATTTCCCATTAGGTTTAAATAAGCCGTACTGACGCAAGATCCGCAGCCTATGCTGATGTATTCCTAAACCTCAAATTAACATGAAAAACTCATCACGTTTTTACAGGTGTGGTGGAACAATTGGCTATATTATGGCAAATAACCTACTGAGGAGGTTGTAGTCGTCAGCTCCAAGTTACAAGGACCGACAATATTTGCAAGAATAAAACCCAGACATTCGACTGCAATTGATGAAATCGGATAATTTACCCAATTCAAAACAAGACATAACGATAAGTAACCAACCCACTTTATTTTACACGTGAAATTTAAAGAACTTGGTAACATGAACGAAAACAAGTGGCTGTACAATGATAAGGCGTCCGTTTACTGTCTGTTGAACAAATATGTAAGGCATACAACACGCTTTAATAAAACAGTAAACAGTTATAGATCAGAAGAGATCACTTCATTGCTTGTCTCCATATTTATTCAAGAGTTCGTCGCATATCTTTGTCAGCTCAGTATTCTCTTGTACCTACAATGTAAAAAATGAAGTATTACAAAGTAGGTCCTAGAATCAAAATCATAGAGACTTTTAAATTAAATTGTCAGATCGTGCCTTCTGTTGTAGCTGGGATTCAAGACTATGAATCCTCAATTCCGAGCGCTTGATGGCCGCTCGCAATCGAGTGACTTCATCTTCGTTAGCTCTTTTAGCCCTCTCGGTCTCTTCTGCAACTCTAAACAAATGAAAAAATGATGCAGATGCGGTAAGCAAAAGCTTAACTAGAAAAGACAAACTACCACGATTTATAACACAAATTATGAAGCTAGCCTACGAAGGTAGGAATAAATTCAGAAAATATCGCTATTGTAACTTCAACCGCTATAAAGACTAAAGAGACTTTTTAAAGATTAAAGCTAAACTAGAAGGAAAATCCCAGCTCAAGAATAAATTAACTAGGATGACCAAGAATGAATAATAGTCAAATGCACATATTACTAATAACAGATTACATATATCAATGTCAGAGTGGGGGGTGAGCAATAGACTTACCTCGACGTGGTGCACCCTGGGCAACGTATATTCATACGGCAAAAAAGTCTACTGACTGGCAGTTGACTTCTCACTTCAAACCACCATCACCCCACTCTATGTCATATCCGACTACTTCCACAGTACTCTTCCTACCTTTTTCTACCTTTGCGTCTCTCTTTTACATCTTTAAAACACTCTTCTTCCCCCCCCCCCCCTCTCGTCTTTTTTTCAATTTGATGTTCCTTCCCCTCTATGAAACCTGAAGTCAACTAAAGGGCTAATGATAACCATCAAGACGCCTGCCATTTGATCAGCAGCAGCATGTCAGAATGGTAAAATTAACACCGCTTTCAAGAAAGATTCTCAACTTGAAATAAAGATATAATTTTGGAATAAAAATTAAAATAAAGAAAGTAAAAAAAATAGCAGGACCACTCGAAGGGAGTTTATCTCTTCCAAGGCAGGAAGAGAATGCAGAATCTTTCAAATCATTTCCAAATGTAATAAGCGTGGTTATAAGGTGATAGTCTGTAATAAATTCCTATTAGTGAAAAGCAATAAATTTAACAAGTGTTTTTCGAAATAAAGCCCTTTTTCTACAAAGAAATTATTCTGTTGCCAAGCTAAAAGTGGACGTACGGAATACGGAAACAAAAACTCAAAACGAAGTAGGGTTGAGAAATAGAAAGGGAAAAATAAATGCAGTAAAACTTACTTGGTCAGTTGTTGCTCCGCGTGGACTTTGAGCGACTGATATTTCTGTTCTTGACGTTTCAACTGATCCTGATATTCTTGAGCGGTTTTCTTTAGTGCCTCCTCGTTCTAAAAGACCAAGATGCAATTTACATCATTAACGGAGAGCACTGAGCTCGCGTTTGACACGCCAAAAGGATCTTAACTAGCAGCTACGAGAAAGGGGTGATAAAAACGTAAAGCCTGACAATAAAGTTTTTCTCCTGAAATAGGAATATAGTGCCTTGGACCAGAATAAATCTGGTAATTAATCACTACATATGGACACCAATATAATAATCTAGTGCTTCGAAAACCATTAGTTGATTGTTGGAATAGTTCTGAACAACAAATACGCATAACTTAATGTTTTTTGAAGCAGTAGCTCATATTACCGTTTTAAAGCCCTCGATAATCTGCTTGGACTTCTCAAATCTTCGATGAAGGTCACCGAATGCCTTTTCGATTGTGGAGATTTCCTCAATAGCCTGATCTCGTTCTGCAATGATGTCAATGACGGACTCTTTTGCCGACTCTTCAGCACGAGCCTTCTCCTCTGCAAGCTGACGAAGACTTCGTTCGTATTCGGCTATGCATCGTCTAGGGAGGTAACGCATTTTATTTACAATTAGTTGAATTCATTGCCCAAATGAAATTAGAAACGAAAAGATACTATAAAAGTGTAGAGGTTACAATAAAAAGGTGTTCCGTGGACTCAAGAAGAGCAAAGTAGAAGTGGCTTAAAAGACTAATCACTAAGTCAATTATTGGCCCCAGGTATAACATTGAGAGTTTGATAAATAATGTAACTAATTATGTCTCCTATGAATGGATCAATTGAAATTGATCTGATTTGCAACTTATCGAGGTAGATAAAAGATCAAAATTTTATGAAAATCCAGTATGAAAATATAAAAAATACGTTAGCACTTCTACAAAGAATTCTGAAAATGGGGAAAATTATTAAAAAATTGAAGTGTTCAACGGTTTTCCTAGAAACAGAAAATGCAGTATTGGAATAAGTGGTCACAAACTCTAATTTCCTCACGCCAGTGCCTTAGAATTTGATAATAACTTTATTAACAAAAATCTACTTCCTAAGAGTTATAAATTTTATTTGTTATGCATTACCTCACACATAGGTAGTATGTCTTACAATGAACTCAAATAAACAACATGTGTTCGTGATACCATGAACTAGCTTTAAAGCAGCTTTCAAGGAACTAGCTTTAGAGAGAATTCCAACCAGAAAACATTTTACATGGTTTTGCACGTTCTCGAATGGAAGGTTCGGCTTAAGTCACTTCTTACGAAGCACAGACCGAACTGCATAAACGAATGTGTAATTCGGTATCAAGAGGTTTGAACTTTGAAATGAACAATGGTAATATTAATTAGAAGGGTGCAGATATTTTGATACAGGATTAAACTGTGTGTAATGACAAATTAGATACAGACTGAACCGGGGTTAGCTAATTCTATAATTTAAAGCAACCAAGCTTAATTAACATTGATCAAACTTAAGTTTAGTTTTGTAGTAAGACAAAAACATTTTCTTGGATTGAATGAAACAAGAACTTTTTTGACTCCTTTTGCTTGTGTACAAAAAACTTTCGCAAAATCTGCAGTGACGAGAATTGATACCCATGGGAACACTTTCAGAAGATTGGAATAGTCAATAACAATAAGAAATGAGAAAAAGAGCTTTTATTCAAATGGTTCTCCCTAGAGATTAGAATACTCTCGAATTAAGTAAACATTGTCCATAGTAAAGATGACCGGAATAGAAATACAAGCACAGGATATATTGCATCAGTTTAATACTTTCCAACTAGTCAGACTAGTTTAATAATCTGCATAAATGTGTAGAGAGAAGTATTTAAGAAAATCGACCTTAGAGATTAGTGAAGGCACTGAACCACAACGCATATTGCATAATTAAGAAGTTAATCGTGCTTTCATTCAATATTCACAAAAGAATAACTCAAGTTTGCTAATTCATGTTTGCCAATGCGAAATCAAAGGGAAAAATCCTAATTTACTGCTTCATTTCCATTACCGTATGAGGATATTACTTAAAGACAGGAAAATCTTCACAATAAAGTGTAACTTTCACAGCTTCAAAACCTAATTTCACCTACCATCTTGTTTAAAAAAATAACAAGTGCGATTGGCTATTAACATTATTGGATGCTCACCAAAGCATCAATCTTACGATTTTTGGCTTGGTCGATGAACACATTTACCAATATCAATTATCGTTGAAAAAGGGAAAACAATGGTCTGATTTAGGCAACTTCTTCAACATCCTACAAAATTTACATAAATATTTTCGCTCATAAGTTACAAAATGATGTGATTAAATGAGAAAAGTCCAACTCCACCAAACAAAGTACAATTCACTATCCCTTATTCTCTTCCTTGTGATCTCCAGTTTAATCGAAATTATAAATTTTTTGTGGAAAGTAAATAAACCGAAGATTTACCAGAGTTAGCACTTATACCAAAAGACGAAAGGGGCGATTGCAAAACAAATTCTGTCTCAAAAAACAAAACAAATAAAAATCTGTTAGCGGTAATTTAATTAAAGTAAAACACTCTAATGTGTTAGTCTTAGCCAACATTAAAAGGAACCCAAGAATATAACCACATTTCAAGTCCCCCCAACCTGCCCAAATATCATTTTGAAGTGAATTTTAACACTACTTCCAATTAAATAGTAGTTAAATTTTCATGGAAAATAGACTTCAAAAATTAATATTGAAAAGAAAGTCACTCGTGCCATTAATATGGCAACATTACACCTCTATTTTATGACTGTGGAAACCTTTAAACGAAATTGATTTCAAAGAATAATAATGGATCTCGGAACTGTCTAGCCCGTATCGAGAAGTTCCAAATGTACGTTAATAAATATATGGCCATTTTTGTCCCAAATCATGTATTTTTCGGCTATGAATTTAAAGGTATAACCCTTATCAGAACTTTTAAATCAGTAGAATGAAAAATAGACAAGAAAATTTAGTAAACTCATCTATAGCTAGCCCTAATTTCCATATTTGATCAATTGACTGGCTAGGTAAATTGGAAATAAAAAGAAGAGAATTATCAAACCCCCGACAACTTCTGGTCAAATGAAGAGGAAGAAAGAAACAAAAACTCTATGCCACTTATGAGACGTAAAAAAGATATTATGTAATGAAATAAAAAAAGTAACTCACTGCATATCAGCCACCACTGTGGTCAAATGCTGCTTATCGGCCCGAAGACTCAACAATTCCTCGTCTGCAGAGAGAGAATGATGATCGGGTTCAGGTTCTGGTAAGGGGGATTGATTTCCTGAGACAAGATCAAACGTTGCCGAAGAGCTGTTGCTGGCCCTACGCGAATGCCCACGTACCAGTGGATTCCCAACCTGAGGCTTAGTAGAAAAGGAGGTCATATTACTGACAGCAATAACAGTAACTAAGGAGAAAGCTGTTAAGCTACACACAATTTGGATAGTGAATAGCTAATAGGAAATACTGATTTATTGGCTACTTTAGCAAGGTGCAAAAAAACAATTAAAGGATTAACCAATGAGATTGGAATTAAGCTAAAGGGAGAGCGAAAAAGATCTTACCTCCTCTGGCACAAATTCTTCAGGAGGTCTGAAAAACGAAAAGAGAAAAGATAAACTCGCAGGTCAAAATAAAGAGAAAAGGAAAATAGTATCGTCACCGCTGAGACAACTTACGGAATATCTACGATATTAGGAATTTGATTTCCAAACTTAGCATCTAAAATTAATGAGATAAAAGATGAAGTCAAACCAATGAAAAATAGAATGGAATTGCACGCCAAGAAATGTCAGCACTCGTGACAGTTTAAGACTGTCTCTCTCAACTCTGCTCTTGCTATTGGCCGTAGGTCTCAATTTATGAAGCCGATTTTGGTGGCGCGTTCTACCAGCCCGAAATCTGAATTTGACGCTGCCACTTTCATTGAATTTTGAATAAACACCTCTGGTTACCTAATTGATATTTCTTTTTAGATTGAAAGACTAAGTGGAAGGTGAAATTAAAGGTGTACCTATATGTGATGTTAATGTGATTTTCCACTACACTTAATAAGACGCTTCAACTAAACGAGCAGTAACTGGTTAAAAGTTACATTTATCCATTATCTGATTATTACGTGATTCAAATAACAAATTCCAAGTAACGAATACTGAGAAAGTAGTGGCACAAATTAACCAGAAATATATACTGAAGTACTAATATGCTTTCTTTAAAAAAATGGAAGGAAAATTAAGTTTTAGCTCACTATCTAAAGCTATTTCATTCCTATCTTCAGCTTCCTGTGAGTTGCCTTTGGAAACAGTTCGTTTTGGTGGAGCAGGACGAGGTCCCTTATTATGTGATTTTAATTCTTTGGGTACACTTTTAGCATCGCCAAATTCAGTAACTGATGGATCCAGCACATGACGGACTTCATTCACTATTTCCTTTCCTGATGGGTTCAAAGGAGGATCTTCTGAAAGAACTGGAAGGTCAGATACAGGAGGCGAGTCGGGTTGAACAGGAGGGGCTCTACCAGCTGATGGACTTGAAGCCAACTTATTGCCTCCAAAGGCATTTCCGACGCCGAATGGATTTGTATTTTCGTCTATTTCATCCCAATTTATTTTATATCCACCTCCTCCGCCAATGGGTCTATCATCAGTCATCGCATAAATAATAGAACAAATTAGCCCAAACTAAATATGAAAACATGGGTTAAGTAAATATGGCAAATTTTATAGGAGTTGCTTTCATTTTGTAAATAAGGTTTAAAATAGGTAAACTTATAATTCAAATATTCATCGTTTGAGTATTTTGCATTATGGGTTACCAAATACAGATATGAAATTTGGTTCCTTGTTTTGATATCGAAAAGTAAATTTCTTTTGATAATCTTCATTTCTCACTGAGTTAATTGTTTTGAATTATTATCCGATGTCATGCTTATTGGTAAATGGGAATTGCTTTGCTATTTTCTGTTTTTAATATATAGGGAAGTATTGAGTTCAAACACGTCTAAGCTTTTGTCTAATTATTTTCACTTATTTGATTAATTTGTTTTATATAAAATTTTGAAGTTGTCCATTTTCTGATTTACTAAGAGCATGCGAACATTCCGATCCACTGATCAATTCCACATAACTAAAACGCAATATCAATATTAAATCTAACAAATAAATGAAAGCATTTTTTCCTCTACATCCTATGAGATCTATGAAATACACAAGGCTACCAAAACTGAACAATGTAATCTTGTGCGCACTGGAACAATCTGGTAGGTACATCTGTGCTACTGCTCGCTTTGCATAGACTTCCCATCCGATTAGTGATCAGTAGTAACGACGTCGTATTGTAGACTCAATTTTGCTTTAATGGTTAAGCATTGAGGCAGTATCCCGAATAAAAAGTACCGCTCACTTTGCACATACTCCATATCCTCGGTATTATTAGGGCAACTTAGTTAATTTTCGGCGCAATTTTATCTTGGTAGATTTGGGGAAAGTTAGCTGCTGAGCTTTAGTTAATGCTTCTTTGTGTTGTATGCGCTGCAGATCCCAACACTTAAATATTCAGTAATTACTTTTTTCAGAATACAAAATATATCTTACTATCGGGCAAATATAATTGGCAAAAAAAACCAAAAAACAATCTAAATTATCTCTTTAGGTTATGAAGTGTTAAATTGTTATTGCCCAGCTTTTTCATTCCTTGCAGCGACCTTGGATTATGGAAGGTCACTTAAAACGCCATGCGTCGACATCTGCGAGGTGTTTTTTACAAGCGAACTCAATGGCGCCTTTATCTATAAGGAAGCATCCCCTTTAGTGTCGCGTTAATTGTCAATGCCTTCGTGATGTCATCTTTTCTCCCATTTTCGGGTGTCTTCTCGATATATATTTTCTTCACATTATTCTCTAGACCTAGATTGTAAAACAATTGTTGTCGCTGCAATATAAAAAATATGCGCAGGTGTTTGAGTACAAAGCACCTTTATTACTGAAGTTAACAACAATACAGTTACGTCAAGTATAAATTAGATCGGCACAGATTGTGTCTGTATAACAAGAAGGAAAATGGAATCAACATATTGTATTGAATCAGCGGAGAATTTAGATCACGGAGAAACGAAATCATTTATTCAATAGCCTTGGCATGACCAATGAAGGCTTCCCAGACTTGACGCGTCTAGAAAGTATCAAAATAAGCGTTACAAAGTAAACACCAACAGTTGAGCGAACTATAGGGTTGATTAATTTGATATTCAATTAAAGTTGTGACCTTGTAGGAAAGCAAAAAAATTGTAGTCAAAAATATCAAACACTAATATAAGAAGGGTAATGAAAAATGAAGTTTATATTTTATTTAAATATTATGTCTTGTTTCATTTTATAAACTGCTCCACCCCCAGGATAGTCAAAAGGCGCATAAATGCCTCAAGAGCAGGCCATATCCCAAAATTACTTGAGACAGCGGTCGTTCAATTTAGCCGATTTTAGGGGAAATGCAAATTTAGGGAAAAATTAATAAAGGATTTTAAAAATAGGCTTTTCTTAGGCAAACTTCTTTCAGTTTTTAATTCAGCATCTCCAAACCCCAGTACGCAGCATGATTCGACCTAAATTTGAATAAAGAAAGCTTGTAAGCAATTGCTCTTAACAGAAGGCACCAGGGTTGGTGCGCCAACGGGCTCATATCTGCAAGGTAAACAATGATAAGCTATTTCAGCTGAAATTTGAATGGCCCAACATGGCCGCCGAATATGTGCCCATAAATCACAAAAAGAGGCAAATTACCACTAATTTAATCAAATTAATATTCCAGACAGATTAAGGGGCTTGACATTGACTCCACAAAAGAAAAAAATATTATCAGCTGTAAATAAAAACAAAACATCCGATTGTTCAAATAAAAAAATGAGGATTTACTTTGATATACATCAGATATAACGGAATAAAGCTCATCGACCAGGATGAGTGGCCGCCCTTGGCAGAATCGTTAAAAAAATCAAGGATCATTTAATCAGAGCGCTAAGAATGTGGGTTTAACATTTTAATGTTTATATTTTTAAACAAACCTTGTCTTAGTTGACTTCATTTCGTTCTCCGTTAAAAGCGCCATCATACAGTTCATATGTATATTTTATTAACTTTGACTATGAGAAATCGCAATCATAAGAATTTGTACTAGACCTCTCTCCTCTCGTGTCGTGAGGATTTTTTCCAATGGAAAAATTGAACTGTCTTCCACAAAGCGACGGATCGTGGAATTTTTGGGAACTTGGCATACAGACTAGAAGCAATTTCAGGTTGAGAAAAAGTAACCAAGAGAAATTGTCAACACAAATGTTTCCAGTGGTTTATAAAAAAATTCAAGTTTGAAATAAAATTGAATTGACCAAACTGTATGTAAGTAGCAGAGAAACTATGTGAGATCTGCTGACTAATGGACCACAGTGGAGGAATTGAGCAGATCAGATATTGGCCATTAAACACCACAAAAATCTGCGGCATAATATACCCCATTCCTTTACTAGAAACTTCAGCTAAACTGGGAAAAAAACAAATGAACCAACCTTTTCTTGCATTTGAAGAATCATAGTGAGATATGAGAGAGTAGCAGCCTTAAATTCCTCGAATCGGGCCTCATCAACGTGCTCAAACTCCTTCTTGATAGTCGCTGAAATCTTCTCAAAGTCCTCTTCGCTCTCATCCACTTTGTGTTGCAACTAAATCAAACAATTCAGAAGAATATAGTGATAAGCGCTAATGACCTACGTTAATATTGTCTAATTCGATCGTCCGCTATACCTCGAGAGTTTTACCACCCTCCACAATAAAAGCTATTCGTGTAACTTGATCTGATCCTAATCTATCTCAATATCAATGTCAACTTGGAGTTAGATTTAGCCATCGTCCCACACCCCATCTCCGTACCATGATGTGCCTTTGATGAGCTTTCTAATGCAGATGCGCGCGTCCAAAAAAAACCGCTTTCTACTATCTTTTTTATAGTAAAACTGCCCAAGCGCATAGGAGCAAATGCTCACCAAACTTGAATTGGGTAGAGAGAAAGTTTGCTGGAGAAATTCACGTTCCACTACTCCTTTTATTGACCAAAATTAACTAGAGCGATTGGTCATCACCCCTCTCCCTCCCCCCTCACTCCACACTCACCACTGTGTTTTGATCTTGTGACCTCCGATTTGGAAGACGTGTACGTTGTTAGCATCGACAACATCACCTTGTAAAATGAAAACTGGCTCGTCTAGAAGCTCCTGTACTCTACACAGCTAGCAAATAAGTTTAAACTCTCTTTAACAAAACTTCGTTAGAAAACCGAAATGACTTACTTCATCGATTTCACGCTCAAGAATAGGGATTCTGGCACGATCGGCTTTGGGAGACATCTCGATGCGAACTTTCTGTTCGCGTTTGCTTCGTAGGGAAGATTCACAATCCCGATGAGTCTTAAATAAGCGAACACGCTCTCCAAGTGTGTCCTAGTTGGTAAATAAGAATAAATGTAGCAAACAAAATTGCCAACAGAGTTCGAAATCAAATGAAACTACTTTATCTGTACAAAATACAACACCTAAGTCATTATCAACACTATGTAATTATAAAGGTGTGGGTGGTGTCCCATTCTTCTAATCAGGCCAAGAACTTCATAGATATTCTTACAATTATATTGCAAGAGAATGGAGATCAATAAATACAAATAAACAAAAAGTTTTGATGGGAGAGCGGAAAATGTGAAGAGGTTAGGAACGATAGTAATTTACTTCATTCCAATATAAGTACAAATACAATTCCCATTAGAGTAATCATAATTTATTAGTAAATTATTGACGTTAGGTAGCGCAGAGAAGATGAAAAAGATCAACCAATTTTCCTGGATCCAGTTATTTAATGAGATCGACGGTCAAACAAGCTCTCACAATTTTGGAGTAGAAAACAGTAAATTAAAAATAATAGTTCACACTCTTGAATAAAATGCATTTTACGATACTTTCACTTGATATTAATTTGTTGTGTTGAGGGGGCCAAAGCGAAATTTTATCCAAATAAACTTTGCTTACAATTAGATGCTTCAGGTAAGAAACACTCAAAGTCAAAACTCATTTACAAAATTTATAAACAGATTCTATCTATATGCGTACTAACATTTTTCAGAATGAAAGTACGCAGTGATTCTCAAACTTGCTAAATATTCGTTTGAAGAAAAGATCAATGTAGAGTAAGCAATGGCAGACCTTAATTCAAATAAGCACCGACGCTGAGAAAATAAAGTTAATACGGGGATTATTTTACTCAGAATGTTCAACTGAGAGTGCTTCAAAGAATGAACAATGTGATGAGAAATTCATATTCTAACACCTCTTCGGAGTAATTTTAAACTAGTTGCACATTAATGAACGAAAAAACGCTCGACACGGCGTTCTGAAGCATAGAACACTAAGGCCACTAGCACATTAAATGAACTCAAGATAGCTAAAAGACTTACCCTACAAGCCTGAATCATCGAGAGAACACCTTTGGCATATTCAACAAGGAAAGTTGATTGTACTTCAGCTTCAACTGAGAGGAAGTGAGCAATCTGTTCTTCTGTATCAGCCAGTTGTCCCAAAGCTCTGGCCAAACCTGTGTGCTCCTCAACATTGGCAAAAACTGATAGCGCTTTTGAAGATGCTAGTGTTGAAGCGGCCAAATCTAAAGATATTAAATATATCAAACTTAATTAGAAATGGTTTTAAAGTAGATTTACATAACAAATTATCTCACCAGTTTGATCTAGCACCAAGTTTGAAAGTGCGGCATAGAGTCTACTACCCTGGACCTCCCAAATCGCAAGCTCTTCATCCTTCATGTCGAAATACTTAAAAGAAGATAAATAGTAGATACAATCAGGAAAAGGGACCGAACCTCATCAGATTCATCCATTCTAAATGTTAATTTTCCCACAGCTTCTCCAACATTCTTCAGAAGTTTCATAGCAGAAGCACCAGAGATGCCTTGTCCGCTAATACCGCGAGGAAGTTCACCTTCAAGTTCCAAAAATTCATGAACATCTGTATCCTTGACAAGAGCCGGATGATTAATAATTCGGTGCAAAAAGCTAAACGAAGAGATTAAAAGCAAACATTTGAAACCACTAACCATTCAAGCGAAACTCTACGCTTTTCGATAAAGTCAGAATCAGCGGAAGTACTCTTTGAAAGGCGTATTTTGGTAGTTCCAAACACATTTTTCTCGGGAGGACAAGGAATTACCACACCGAGATGGAGATATTTCTCTTTAAGTTTTTCATAAAGCCCAAGAAAATCTGAGAAACGCCTTTGCACGCACATGTTGGGTTTCTTAAAGCTTTTCATGTTTGTCTAGAAAATTGATTGGCAAAATAAGAAAGTACCGTGGTTCTGATGGTATAAACAACATAAGACGACATGCCTTCCCCAACCTTTTCCGGATTAAGAACCTTTACTATGATCGTATTCTTTTCATAGGTGCTAAGATGTGCATCAATTGCCTTAAAATATAAAATAGGAATATAAATCATACCGTAGCGGAACCAGATTCGTTGTTGCTAGAATTAATATGCTCATCTGAAAATAGAATTTGACAATTAAAATCACATGGAAACAAACTCGAGTCATTTTCATATTGTTCCTAAATGTACTATATAAAATAGATTAATAAAATACTACATTCTCATCTGGAACCATCATCGCGAAAGTAAAAGTAGCTGACCCTAAATTTGCCTTTTTATATGTGCCTTAAATTTCCGGCATACTTAAATAATGATATCATTATAAATAGTCGTTATTTCCTTTAATTCCAAATTTGATTTATTGTAAATAGTGTCATTTCGTAATTATTAAATAGATGCTGCAGTGAATGCCTACAATAGTTATTTTTTTACCTCTATCTCGAGGAACACTTTTAATAAAATTATAACTGATTGGCAAAGAACATTGCCTTAAAATACGATATTTCTAGTTTATATAACAATATTTCTCTTATTTGTTTAAAAATGTCTTGTGAATGAACTTTAAATGACTCCTTCCAATGGGTTTTGCTTTGCTTTTTGCAACAAAGCGCTCACTCTTAATTAAGCTATCCAGTTGGGAGTCTAAGAAATAAAGGCTTTTAAGTCCTAATGATAAAACAAGATTTAGAGAAGAAAATTGACCATTATGACATTCCAAAGCAAAATAATTACTATGATTTTCTATTTAACTGAGCATATATTTAACCGCAAATAAAATATATACTAAGGAATGTCATGTTAACCTGGCAAAAGCGAAATTACATATAAGACCATTTAATTTCATTGCCATGGGAAGTTGATCAAAAAAGCTAAATTTGCATGATATTTTCCTTCATTCGCATTTAAAAGAGTAGTCACCAATTGCCATTATGTTACAGAATTTTAATCTCTTCGCCTTGCAACAGGAAACATAATATTTTTCGTGATATTTTCCCAGTTTGAGCTTGTGGTTATGAAGAAATACAAGGAATGATGCATTTCTTAAATATTTGGAGGCTAAATATCCCCTCTTTTCTTTTGACCATTTAATTCTATTTAAAATCTTTCTTCAGTAAATGATTGTCTAAGGTTTTTATTCATAATTTTGCAATGATGTTTAATATTTTAGCCAATAAAAATCTTTATTTGCTATATGAATGAATCATCTAAATTTCATTGAAAGCATTCGTATTCAATATGGTCATATGTCTTTTTAAGGCATAAAAACATTATCTATTATACGTAAGATTTATTTTGACTTCTAATCAGTTTGTTTTAAATAACCATTTAAATGATAATTTGAGGTCATGCGACTCTCAGAAAATTAAAAGGGGTATAAAACCGCAATTTTGGGACAGCTCAATGTAGTTTCAGAAGTCTATTGCCATAATCTTATTTCATTCAAGTAGTTTAAATTTATCTTTCACTTCAGTTTGAAGACCAAGTACTTTATCAAAAATGGGTAAGATTTTTCTGTTCGAGATTTTGCTTGTGTAACTTGAAGGAAATGCTTTAGTGCAATAAGTTTTTTTTACTTTAACGCCATTTTGTGCTTTGTTTATAGGATTAAAGGACTCAGATCTTAGCAAAGGTTGTGTTAAATACGTATTAATAGCCTTGCTTCTATTAATCTTCTGCATTATTTCTATTCTGGTGGCCCTCTATGTTGTTGCCAATAATTCTGGCTACGCTGTAAGGCATCTAGCTATCATTAGTTGATCTTTTTTAAACAATTCACAACGCGCCTATTTATTGTTTACCTTTTCTCTTTAGTTTGCATTGTTAATAGATGCAGGATCCACTTCTTCAAAACTATCAATTTTTACTTGGAAAGATTGGCCTTTCATAGAAAACGGCTATGTGCAAGAACTAGGCAATGACAAAGTCAGTAAGTTCGATCTTTAAAAAATGCAATGAGATATGAGTATAATGTTTAATTTTAAAACATGCTAAGTCAAATTCATATTAATTGTTTAAGTGATATTAAAATTCAGTGGTATGTTTCTAACGAGTAGGAATTTTGTTGCCTATCAAGACTAAAATTCGAAGTGCAATTTTTTTAATTTTTGTACTTTAAGTAAATAAAATTCATATTAATGTAAAACCACTTCTCCTTTTACTAGGCCCAGGAATTTCGTTTTACAAAGACGATCCAGAAGAAGCTTATAATACTATGGAATCAAAGATTAAGACACTAGTCAAAAAATATATTCCGTCCAATGTCCAATCAAGGACGCATCAGTATCTTGCAGCTACCGCTGGAATGCGTCTTTTAGAGTGAGTTTAAATTAATTAATTGGAAACTGCACTCTTCTTCATCTTCGTGCTTAGTATTTCCAATGAACTTTTCACTGCTTAAAATGTTCGATTACATTTTAGGCTAGAAAACCCATTAAAGTCTGACGCGATAATCGAAGCGCTTCAATTAAATTTACATCGAACTGATTTAAAGCTGGGAAATCCATACTCAGATGTTCGAGTTATGAGTGGACGAGACGAAGGAATTTATGCCTTTATCACTGTCAATTATCTGCTAGGGAAATTTGGTGACGTGAGTTGTCTTTGTCTAAAATTAATATGGATTCAACTGTTTGCTCCCTCACTGTCATGTGTTTCCTTCTTATTAAAGTAAAACATAATTGGAAATATTGTGTTGAACCGGCAAAATAAATTAGTTCTTTCTATGTAATACGTACATTTTTAATCCTTACGTCGAATGTTTCACATTGAATGAAAGTATGATCTATTTGACCAATCACAATGACATTGCCATGTTATTTCACTAAAATAATATTTATGTCTTTTTAAACGTTATCAATTAATTGTGATCACGCCTCCTCCTCCTCCTCTTCCTTTCTTATTGCAATTCATCAAACGATATCTTTTCATCAAACGTTTCTATGGTTCAAATTCGAAACTTCATCTCTCTTTTGAGTTATAATCAAATTACATATCATATTAAATGAGTAATGAACACTAAAAATTAAAGGGGATATAACTTATTGCACTCGCTAAGTAAGTATCGGCAGAAATTATATTTGTAAAAATATCCCCATTAGGTTGTTTAGGAATATTGTATAAATATTAATAGCAGTTTCCATAAATATTATTCATTATTAGTAATGCTTTAATACATGCCTATGTTCCTTTCGTTAAATTGGTATCTTAATTGATATTAATGCAATAAAGCTATCTTTTTATTTTAGCGGGATACTTCACCGGTTAGTCAACTGCAGACAGTGGGTTCTCTAGATCTTGGAGGAGCCAGCACTCAAATAGCTTTTGTACCCGATGTTGATCAAAATGCCCCTCATACCTCAACTCAAAAGCTTTTTGGAAATGACTTCAGAATTTACAGCTTTAGTTATCTGTGTTACGGCAAATCTGCAGCTGAAAAACGTGTGTGGGCTCAAATTATTTTCGACCATACCCCTCCTCATACTGTAAGTCATTTAGCTTCCTGCCTTTGGACCTAGTAGAAGTTTCTACGTATGCAATCTTTTGCTCAATTATTGTTACTTTAGTCTCCAATAAACAACCCATGCCTTCATAAGGGTAAAACTATCACTATCAATGCAGCGCCTCTTTTCGATGATCAATGCATCGGTGGTAAATACGCTTCCGATCTTGTAGGATCAGCTCTACAAAAACCCACGGTAAAATTTTTTAGTAAACTTATCTCAGGGTGAAGCAATTGTTCTTGTTAAATATATTTGGAAGAAATTAATTTCCCCATGGTCAAAGCAGACGAAACTGTAACGGTTTAGCTAATAGTTAAATGTCATTTGACTTGAGTTAACCTGACCAAGATTAAACAGGCAGGCATGGTAGATTTTATTATTCATACTATCAAGTTAGGTGTTTATTCGGAATATCTTTGATTGCCTCAGTTTTTTTAGTTATTGCTTTTTGTTTATAACACAAAATGAATTGGAATCTGCTTTGACTAAGTATTGATCTTGTTGATTGATAAGAGCGTTGGTATCGTTCGAATGGTTTACTTCCAGAAACTGTAAAGTTGTCTTCACACTAACTGGTGAGGTACGAGTTTTTCTGTGGATTTAACAGCAGAGCAACCACCAGGTGGATTCTGGAGATCTAGATGTTTAAGACAATAGAGACCCCAAACATGGAAATGAGAGTGTGTCATGTATTTAACTTTAGATTCGATCGGAACAGTAGTGACCCATTGCGGATAATCTTCTTGATTGAGCACAATTTATAATTGAAGATTTTTTTGCTTGTATCAAATATTTTTATAAAGCACAATATTTTGTCGGTTGAAGGGCCTTCCAGATAGTATCACCTTCACGGGTACTGGAGAGCCTGATAAGTGCAGAGCAGTGGTTGAAAAGATGTTTCAATCCTCCAAGGCATGCTCCAAAGAGCCCTGCATGTTTGGCGGCATTCCACGTCCTAATTTGCGGGGAAATTTTTACGTAAGTAGAGCAGTTTCTCCTAAAAATTACGTCTTTCTTTGTTCTTCATAATTATCGCATTTGCTATTTAACAAAAATAACAGGCAATTAAATATTTTTTCAACTTGTGAATTTTATTTAATTTAATGTTTTTTTACAAAGAAAATCTTTTAATGAAAACAGGATTAGGAAATATAAATATATATATATTTTAACTTGTAGGCCTTTAGTGGATTTACATATTCGGCAAAATATTTAGGCATCCTCAATAAGAACACTACTCGAGATAACTATAGAGCAGCGGTGGACGAGTTCTGCAAAAAACCATATTCGGAGGTACGTAATTTATACACGGGCGCTTGCCTTAACGTTTCGTTGCCACTCTACAAGATGGTTTTTTTGTTGTTTGCAAAGGTTCAACAAATGGAAGGGTATGATGGGTTCACGTACATATATTGCTTCGATGGTGCCTACATTGAAAGCTTGTTGGTTGGCTATGGCTTTGAAGACTCCGAGAGCTGGAAAAGTATAACATTTGCGAATAAAGTGAGCAAAGATCATTGCTTTTTCTTTTGAAAAATTATACTCTGCATAATTTCAAAGCATATTTCAAGAGTATTTATTTTTGCAACCACCTTTCTGTATACTAATTCATCGGAAAGGTCACAAGCACTAAAAGGTGTGGCGCAGACTTGCAACATTTTAGGAAGACTTGGAGGCGGATCTGACAAATTAGCTAACGCTTAATAGATTTATCATGAATTCAGAGTGTTGGCACTGGATCACTTTCTCCAATTGCGCCTCCTTTGAAAGATGAAAGTCTTTTTGTCCCAATTGCAAGACAACACTCTTTTTGTACCAAAATTCTAGACTTATCTCCACTAGTGAAGCATATCCTTTTATGATGTAATTTACACAGACATTTAACAAAATGTGAAGTCTAGAAAGTATCTCCCATTATTAAGGCCAAATAACTTATTTGGTAATTACTTTTTTATAGAAGAAAAATATATGAAGAGTACGTAGACAGAATTTGTGGCTTTGATCTTGGTACTCCTTCATTATATGTCTATTTGTTTCCTTAGTAATTTACCAGCATACTTGCTTACGAACGACTATTTACGAAGTTCATAGTGCTCTTTTAACGCCACATCTCCCTGGAGATTTTTACCTTCAGAGGCGTTATGCATATTGATTTCAGGTGGCACTTATAATAAATATAGAACAAAAATTGCATCAAACCACGAAATCGATCCAATTAAGCCAAATCGTTGATTTGATAACCTATCTCAAAGTAAGTTTGTTAAATGTGCAGGAGAGCTGTTCCAAATAGCGTCCAGTTTTGTGAAGTATGTTCAAGAGGTTGCAATTTGCTTTCTCTTTATCATTTATTTATTTCAAATGGCGGGCGTTTTGATAGCCTATATTTGCAAATGAGATAGATATCATTAGCCATTTAGCTAAATGGCAGGCGTTATAATAGCTATCATTAGCCATTTAGCTGACTTCGTGATTCACAGAGGGAAGGTTCATCAAAGTAGCAGAAAGTCGAACACAGAGGGAAGGTTCATCAAAGTAGAAGAAAGTCGAGGGATGAGAGGGAAGGTGCATCAAAGTAGCAGAAAGTCGAGGGGTAGAAGAGGGAAGGTCCATCAAAGTAGAAGAAAGTCAAGGGGTGGGAAAGGAAAATGAACATCAAAGTGGCAAAAAATCGAGAGGGGTAAACAGAAGAGTGATTCACAGATGTAAAAGAGACAGACAGACTGACACAAAGTGAGAATAATGATTCACAGACGTAAAAGAGACAGACAGACACGAAGGTAGAAATTGAAGAGCGATTCACAGATGTAAAAGAGGCAGACAGACACAATGGTAGAGAAAAAAGCA